TTTGAGTAACAACTATTCGAGCAAGATTGGGATCTGCATCTTTTTTTACTAAAAGAGAAGTGTCTTCTCTCAGTATTGACAACCCATTGAAATAAACAGGACCTATTCATGATTACATTACAACATTAGGTATATAACTGGTTTATGTAATATAATTTGGTATATTAGGTATATCAGAAGGAATTTAGACACTATTATAATTTGTCACTAATATAACAGTGCGATAGTACCCTCATTTTTGTTTTTATTTATTTATTTGTTTTATTCACCTTTTAATTCTGGTTTATTTACTTATTTTATTTTAATTATTCATTCATTCATGCATATATTGTCTGCTATCAGTACCTCGATTTTTATTTTACTCATTAAATTAATCAAAATCCTAAATCCTGAAAGGAGGTGCATCAGGCAGTAAAACAATAAAGAAAGTCGCAAAAATTGTAGCTTTAATTGCAGTATTCAACAAAAGAAGTTCAAAGTAAAATGAGAAGTGATGTGGAAAAAATAATATACCATAATTACAGACATTTCTACCCAGGCATTATTCGATTTCTCAGAGGACCCCTGAGTTTGCCAAAAAAAAACTAGGTACTTTTCTCCAAAATTTTTACGTAGGTTGTATGACAAAAACACAGATGTGAAATACAAATTTACCTAACCTTCTCAAAGAAAATTAGCCCCGTTCTAATATTGCTTCAGTAACTGTAGATCACAGACAACTAACAGGTGAATCTTCCTCATTCTGAATGTAGTCAAGGCTACAGCATTACACAGCAATTTGTGAACGAAACAATATTGAGAAACAAAATGCAAACTTCTCCATCAATTCTGGTTCTCATATGTCTCATATTTCATGTTGTTCCCTTAAACATCCAAATCCTGTGTAAACCGCTCTTCAGGATGGAAAGGCAGTGTGATCCCCACGGGGGCATCTTTCACTGGCCTGTTATTTTTATTGTGGCCGTGCAAAATGAAACCAGTGGCTCAGAGAAGATGGCAAGTGCCGGAATAGAGGAAAATCAATACGGCAATATCAGTGCTGCACTTATCGGAGTCTCCCTGCTTTTCAGGGGTCACAGAGGAGCAACTATATCTAAGCGAGGGATTCAATGCTGAGATGGATTCTTGAGAAATCTGTGCTGTGACTGAAAAGCCATATTGTGGGAAATAAAATACACTTCGACAACTATGTCTCCAGACGTATCTAGTTTTTCAGTTTAATTTTTGTAAACAACTGAGTGATTTTCCACGGACACCCTGGCTATATGAGATGGGCCCACAGTTTGGGAAGCACTGACTTAAACGCTGCCATCTAGGCCCTAATCAAAGTGTGATCCATAACCATCACAAGTAACTGTGACCCAACTATCCATGCCCTATTTCCCTCTACAAACTACTGTACATCAAACCAATCAAAAGATTCCCAGCCATCTGTCTGTCCAACATCGGTTTCTCTTATTAAAGAGAGTTTGGGTCAATGAAGCATCACAGCATATGGCTTTCATTATGGAGCACTTTAAACTCAAAGTGAAAAAAAATGGCATAATTGCACCTGATTTCCTAAGTCATGTGAAACCGTCTGCTCCACAGAGAACAGCATTATGTGAGATTTCAAGTAGAGGATTAAATAGTATAGTGCCCTTTTATTCATGCAATCTTGCACAACATTTTCACCTCATTTTTTAAAATAAATATATGTAACTGAAGACTGTAAAATGATAAGAAAACATAATGTGCTTTTTGTACAGTTTTTTTGGCATCCATATAATGTGCCTGGCACTGATAATCTGTGCATTTTTTCCGCATTTGGCAGAATACCCAGCAGTATTTGTGAGAATAATACATTCTCCACCGTGCTGTGAGTGAGGCTGGAAAAGCAGAAAGAATCGGACCAGAGGGGCCAATTAGAGAGAAAAAGGGAAGCTAAGCACGTCCCCAGTGTGCGGCCGTCTTCCACTGAGCGTCTGGGAGAACTTAGTCAATCCTGGGAATTTGGGGCAGTGGGAATGATGAGGAAGGGTGTTCCGAGGTTCCCTCTAAATGTCACTGTGAGGTAAGGAAGCTTGTTTAAGCGGGGTATGTTCGAGCAATACTGCCAGCTCTCATCTGTTTTACAGGACACACGCCTGCAGGCGCTCTTATAGTGTTGAGTGTTACTGTTGCAATGAGACGCCAGCCCATATAAACACATGGCTATCAGCAGTATATTTTATCTATTAAAATAAATAATTAAAATAATGTTTTTGACCTTTAAATCAGTATATTAGAATGATTTCTGAAGGATCATGTGACCGTGAATACAGGAATAATGGATGCTGAACATTCACAGGAATAACACTGCAAAACTAATTTTTATAAAAGTTTTGTTTCGCTTTTATTTAAAATATTTATGAAGTTTGACATGCTGAATATGAAAATCACATTACTTTTTTGTGTCATTAACGGTGCTCATGAAAACTAAAAAATATGTTGACAAGCTAACCTGTTATTAGTCATGCATAAAAATGACGTGCTACATGCATAATACTGAGCTAACAACAAGTTTGACATAAACAGTTTGCAAAAGTGAGTCGCCCAAAACTTCAGAAGTGTATGACTGGAATGTTGCAGAAAGCACTAGAATATTACAGAATATTACAGAATGTTACAGAAACTTTAGAATGTTCCCGTCCTCGCAAAAGCAAAATATATCTTAAAAAAAATAATAATAAAAAAAATAAGTAAACAAATTTGTTACATTGTGTAAAGTACATTTGAAAATATATTAAAATAGTAAAAAAAAAATAAAAAAAAAATATATATATATATATTATTTTAAATTATGATAATATTTCAGAATATCACTGTAAATTTCTACTATATTTGCCTTGAGGAACATAAAAGACTTCTTAAAAAAATATGAAAAAAATCTCATCAATCCCAAACTGTTTTAATGATAGCTTATATGAAGTCTTAATAATGTATCATAATTACACACGCTGCGGTTTACTGAGTGAGTCATCTGAAAGATTCAATGAGGAAGTCAGACTGATTCATTTGCCCATCAGTTTAACTGATTAGTTAGAAAGAATCTGTCAAATTTAGCAGCTTGTTTTCAATTCCCAACTGTATATTTGATAAGGACTGTAGTGAGTTGTAGTGGACCAAACTTCTGCAGATTCAGCAGAGGGACAATGCCACTCTTGAATTAAAGTACAAGAAACACTGACTTGCGTTCAACTTTGCTCCTGCAGTGGCGAATAAAGTGATTCTGATTCTCTGAGCTGATAATGAATCAGAACTCCTTTGTTTTCTGAAAACGGTGAGACGCTGGGTGAAGCGTTTGAGGGAAGCTGCCAAAATAAGCGTACAGGCCCAATCACACACAAAACATGACCCTAACAAAGCAGACTACTGCAGAACCTTTCACAGACATGATACACGATCGCTTTCTCCGGTTTTACATGTTTACTTTTAATACTGTCTTTCAAATGTTTTCCTCTCCCAGTCTCAGTTCAGAGACCGTGCCTTGAACCTTTCTCAAAGCATAACATTTTACAACTGGAGGGTGGGAGATGTTGAACAGAGCAGAACCCACTCCCCCTTTACACTGTCACATCCAGCCAGACAGAACCAGAGGGAGGGATGGGAAACAAAAGGAAGGCAGAAATGAAGGTGCTATATTCCTGTAACTGGTGAAATTCTCCCACAAAGGGAGCACAACTGGCAGAACATGAGTCCGAAGGGAATCGTGAGGGGGAAAAGAAGCAGGTAGACAGAAATGGAGAATGATGGAAGGAATGAGAAAGCGAGACTGCAGTGATAAAAGAGGTGATGTGTGTGCGTGTTTGGTGGGGCAGCGGTGGAGGAATGCCCCATGGCTGTGCTATAAGGAATAAATCAACTGTGCTGCTATGTTTTGGTAAGATACACGCCAAACGCAATCTCTGTAGCCAAAGCTTGAAACCTTCTTCCATATAAGTTCAGTTTGGAAAGAAAACATTTGTTCTCCCTCACGTTTGGCAGCCTCTCAGTTCAGACAGACAAAACGTATTTTTTTTAATATCCTCGCGGGGGCTTAACAATTTCATTAAATCTTACAACAGTTTTTAAAATTGTAAATCAAGCCTGAAACAGAATATATCTGCAAAAAGTGAAAGTAGCTTGTTTGCACAGTGTCAAGAAAATTAAGCTATTGCTTCACTTAGAAGCAAGTCTTCAAGATCCCATGAAATGAAGTGACTTGGACTTTTTTTTTTCCTGTTAAGTTGGAGCAGGACATATTGAAGGGATTGTACTTTTTATACACTACCATTCAAAAGTTTTTTTTTTTTAATAAATTAATATTTTTATTCAGCAAGGATGCATTAAATTGATCAAAAGTGACAGTAAAAACTTACTTTGTTTTCAAAACTGATAATAATCAGATATGTAACTTGAGCACCAAATCCGCATATTAAAATAATTTCTGAAGATCATGTGACACTGAAGACTGGAGTAATGATGCTGAAAATTCAGCTTTGCATCACAGGAATAAATTACATTTTACAAAATCTATTGAAAAAAAGAAAATTATATTTAAGATTAAAAAGATATTTTAAACCATAATAATATTTCACAAAATTTACAGCTTTTACTGTATTTTTGATCAAATAAATGCAGCCTTGGTGATCATAAAAGATCTTTGAGCATTTGAACAGTAGTTTACATAGCTATGTATGTCACAGCTGTGAATTATGATTTGCTACCTGCTATTGCTAGTCAGTGGGAAGTGGTATTAGATGGTATTCTCATTTTATACATCATTTGATAGGACAACAGCCTGTAAAATGCAACAAGAGCTATCAATATTTTTGAAACACATTCATAGGGTGTCCATCCAGCCATTTAATGGGGTCTTCAACTATTGAAAACTTTTAGGAGCATCACTGACAACAGACAAGAACTCTTGTAGACTGATGCTGATAGTGTGTGTGTGTGTGTGTGTGTGTGTGTGTGTGTGTGTGTGTGTGCGCGCTCACCTCAAACTCCGCGTGCTTGTGGATGTCCTCTGCTCTCTGGCGGCTCAGAATGAACTCGGCCTCATTAGCTACACGTACCAGATGGTCCTTCATGGTGTGGCTCAGCAGTCTGTACATCAAAATCACATTGAAGTTTAAGAGTTCATACCTGACATCACATGATTCTGTCTGAATTTTTTGCTGCAATGAGGCAGTTTGTGTTGGTGACATAACTGAATCCAAATACTTTTATACGGATCCAATTAAACTAAATCATGCATATTTTTCCATTTATTAAGAAATGTACTGATCGTAAGAGATGCAATAGACACATTTATAGACACAACCCTTCAAGAACTTGAATCAAGAGATACACTGATAACTATTTCCATATTATGGCTGATATTATTAACCTGTAGGACTGCACAATATTGGGAAAAACTGACATTCCTGACATTGTTTTCCTGTGATATACAGTATATTGTGATATGAAAAAAATATTATTAGGGCCCGAGCACCGCGGTGCGAGGACCCTCTTGGATTTGCTTCGTTTATTATTATTATTATTATTCTTTTCCGAAAAGGATTGCATTTTTGAGGGCCTAAACATGCTCGAAAACTCACGAAACTTTGCACACGCATCAGAACTGGCGAAAATGTACATCTGATATGGGTTTCAGAAGTGGGTGTGGCAAAATGGCTCGATAGCGCCACCTGTAAAATTTAAACGGAGTGTGCCTCGAGCTACGTTTTACGTACACGTACGAAAATCGGTACACACGTGTAACACACCATTACCTACAAAAAAGTCTCTTGGTTCAAAATCCAAAACCCAACAGGAAGTACGTTATTTTGAATTTCCTGCACGATTTTTATTTCCAGGCCTCGTACTTTGACGAACTCCTCCTACAGTTTTAATCGGATCATCTTCAAATTTGGTGAGGGTCATCATAAGGCCTTTGTGACGTTAAATTGCGAAGATCTTGAGTTTTCGTCAAGGGGCGTGTCCCTGGCGGACTGACAAAATTTGATGTTTCGCCATGAAACAGCAAGTTGATGTAACTCAGGCAAGCAATGTCCGATCTGCCCCAAACTTCACACGTTTGATAGGTGTTACCGGGTGCGAGGGCCCTTTCATCGCTGCTTGCAGCTTTAATTATATTTTATTATTATAATAGGCTACAATTATTATGGGGGGTGCATCACACTAAGCCAATATTGATTTTATTCTGACATATTGTGCAGCTCAAAACTAAAATAAATAGTTTGTATGCTACAAGTGAATTTATGCATCACAACATTATAATGTACAGCATTTGTAGAAATCCTATAAAAGATGATAAACATCCAATAACAGCAGACACAAATAATAATAATAGGGATGCACGATATTGGATTTTTGCCGATATTTTTCAACTCATTTTGGCCGATACCGATATATTTCCTTTTGTTTGGAAAAAACACCAAGTCTCGAAGTTTTGAAAATAACTATAAATAAACTATATATCAATCGCTGCATTTTTTTCCCCTGAAAGATGCAGTGTTAACCCTAACATTTTATTTTAAGATTTAACATTTGTTGATGGTCTAAAGCAAAAGAGTTGTAAAAATTATTTAAATCTTTTACAGCTTATGATTTGTTTAAAAAATAAAACATATTACACATGAATGAATAAATCAGTATATATAAAATTATTTAATTTACAAGTGTCATGTTTGTGATTTTACCTTTAAATCAAAACATACTCATTATTTTATGACATCAATTACTGCTTTATTTAATCAGAAACACAGTCTAAATGTTATTTGTGTAGGGTATTTTACTTTTAATTTAATTAGAAGTAGGCCAACAGCACCCCCTACAGATTGAAACTCCTTACCGAACGGGCATTAGGACCCGGGGAGGCTGCCGCTGCTGCCACTGCACCTGCTATTACTGTTTACTCTATCATACACCAAACGCATCATTCTGTATGTGCTTTCACAGATTAAATGCAGCGATCCAAAGCAGAGAATCTAATCATTATTCAGACAAAACTTTGCTTCAAGAATAAGCCACACTGCTGACGTGATCTAATCACTAGCACACCCTAAGCACATGTGAGTTAATGTATTCCTCTTATCGGCAAGACATATCGGCATAATTTTTCATATTGGGCCCGATGCCGATATTTACATTTAAAGCCATTATCGGCCGATTCCGATATCAGTCCGATAATATCGTGCATCCCTAAATAATAATAATAATAAAAACATCTGCCAATATCAGTGATAAATGATGCTGTGTTGGTAAATCACGCATCCCTAATAAATAATACTGTATATAAATTCCATTATATATCATTTGACATAATAATGTTCACAAAATAGCATTAAAAAAATTGCAAAAATGAAGACATCCATTCAACTGTTAATCCGTGAAATTAGTTTTACTGATTTAATAACACAGTTGTTAGGCCATCAAAGTGTCAAGAGTACACTAAAGCAACTTAACTACACCATGTAAAACAAGCAGAAAATCATATTTAGCACAGCAGCTAAAACCACCCCACTAAAAACAACCAGCGATTGATTTGTAAATGATATGCATCTAACAAGATACAGATGCAGGGGGTGTGGAGACGGGGCGCGTCTCACCCTGGCTCATGTTTCTACATATGTAAGAACAGCCTTCCTTGGATAAACACACACACAAACTGCTCCTTATCACAGGGCATCTGATGATTACAGGGGCTGATGGGAAATCAGAAGCATCCTGCTTTTACTGCTACTGTTTGTCAGCCCTCATCCAAACCCGAAGCTGTTCTGTACATCTCAGAGTCTTGTTTGTGAATCAGCACTGCTTTTTCTGTCCATTGTGCCCTGGGTTAGCACAGATGGGGAGGAACCTGATCTTGAAACAGCATATTTACACCCCGGGCAGATTTGTAAACAACACAAGCCGCGGCCTAATAAAACACTCCCCCCAGGGACAGAGACGAGTCTCTCAGCAGGTCAGGAGGCTCAGGCCTCTGCAAAGTGGAAAAATAACAGGCGGAGGGTGGAGGGCTGAAACTCGAGCCTGGTGTGTCAGCGGTGGGCAGCGGGGGAGCGGACGTGCCAGGGACTCTGTAGTGACCCTCTCCCACCCCTCTCACCCCGACTGCCATCAATAACAGCCCGCTCTGTGTGACTGCCCTTCTCTCTATCACCATTTTGCTTTCCTGTCTTTCTTTATCGATTTTAACTTACTTCATGATATGATAGAAACAAACAAGTACCTAAATGTGCCATTATATTATTAGCATGGTAGATTATACCACGGTAAAATCATGTTTGTGCTTCTTTATATTCTATAGCTATATTATTAAATTACATGAAATTACATAATTAATATATATTACGTTATAAGGTTAAATGACAAATATTAGTGCCAAAGATACAAAAAAATTATCTAAATCATTACATTACATCATTGCACACAAAGGCTGAGGATCCAAGTGCAGTAGTTGATTAGAGGGATAATCCACAATTGTAGTCAAAACAGGCATGAGGTCAAACACAATAAGCAATCCAATAAGCAGAGTTCAGGGCTGAGGCTAACAGAGTAATCCAGATAAACAGGCAGAATATCAAGAATTATATAGGCAGATGTAATGAGCAACAGGTGAAAACAATCAGGCATGATGAGTCCAGGCAATGGGTTATGGGAAATGCAGTCCAGGATAGAGTGGCAAAGGTACGGGATGGAGTGCCCTCTGGCAGCTATCAAGAGCACTCAAGCTGGTTATCGTGACATAGTACCCCCTTAAGGAGCGGCTTCCAGACGCTCCAAAAACAAGAACAGACTTAAGTCCAGGAGGGAGGTGGAACGGGGAGAGATGGAGGGCCAGGCCCATGGACAGGAAGAAGGACTGAAGATTGAGGTTAAAAGGGGAGCCCGAGTGGAGTTGAAGGAGCAGGTGACCAGGGTGGGGGCGGTGGAGCTGGAAGCCTGGGAGGAGCAGAAGACCACAAGGGTGGAGCAAGCGGGACCGAAGATCCCCACAGTGGGGCCGATGGAGCGGAGGACCACTTCAGCGGAGCTGATGGTGCAGAGGACCACCAAGATGGCTCAGACAGAATTGGAACCCACCATGGTGGATCTGAAGGCCACCAAGGCAGAGCAGACGGAACGATAGAGGGCTCAGAGAGGTTAGAAATGGCCCCTGTGGCCATAACGAGACATTCAGAGAGTTCAGGAATGACTTTCTTGGCCGTGGCACCTCACAGGCTGGCACCAACACAGGACTGAGCTCTGGGGCTTGAGCGGGCTCATGGACTGGAGAGGGCTCTAGAACGGATTCATGGACTAGTGTGGGCTCTGGAGCAGACTTATGGGCCAGAGAGCAGTGTGCAGCCCAAAATGGCCAGCGGTGGGTCCGCCACACTGGACATCAGTCTCGGTTGCCTGGGCATTGCCTTACTAGCTTCAAGACCAATGTATAGGCTCTGGAGTGGAAGACACTACAAACACTGGGCTCGCAATCCTCAGTGTAGGGCATGCTGGAATACGCAGTCTATCAAGCTACTTGGCCACCGGAGCTTGCTGCCTACTAACTCAACTGCTGGATCTATAGTGGCAAAGTCTTCTGTCACAAAACTGCACGGGGACACGAAGGCTGAGGATCCAAGGTGGCAATCAAGGGCACTCCAGCTGGTGATCGTGACAATCACATTATTACAGATGCGCTTTGTTATTTGCATTAGCTTCCAGTTAAACTGCACATTGATTTTAAAACTCTCACTCTAAAATATAAAGTTGTACATGGAATGGCTTTTGTGACTTAGTTACCCCGCACACACCTTCTCATTTGCATTAAGCACTTTCAAGAAACTGTTAAAAACCCATCTTTTTAAAATAGCTTATCTTGATTAATTTGATTAGCTTTTCAATAGGGTGTTGTTAGCTTTTACTGTATTTTTGTACAGTATTATTTCTTTAATTTTTATAGTTTTAGTTGTTTTTACTGTTTGTAACGCTGTGGGTATGAGAAAAGTACATTATAAATGTATTATATAATAAATTTATTATTATTATTATTATTGGTGAGTTGCACCACATGACATTTTGCAACCCGCCCTAACCTTGCCTTGCCATTAAAAAAAACAACAACAAAAAAATCTTTATAAGGTTTTCTTTTCAACAATTTCATAATTTTTTAAGAGGTTTTTAATCATTATGAAATCAGCACAGACAACTTTTTAACTTTACGCTCAAAATTATAATTATACAATTATTTTATAAAATTACAAATTATAAAATTAAAAGAGGTGTTGCAGGTCATTGTATGTTTAAAGCACATTTTTATGCATTTTTTAATAAATTAATGAATATGGACGAAAACATGAGAATCACATAATTGATCCAAGTACAATGGAATTATCACCTAATATAATCACTGCACTGCCATAGTTCTCGTTTTAGTTCTTTTCTTTGGGCTAGGTAAGAATTCAAACAATGTTACAAACTCCAGTATTGAAAGTAGACATTATAATGACATATTTGATGTGCAATTTTATAACAATGATTGCACTGACATCTCTATGACAGGTGCTGGTGTCCCAGATGTTGTCTCAACCCTGACCCTGCTTTCCAAAAGAAAAGCTTGTATGTTTGAAAAAGCTGTAAAGATGGCCAGCAGTGAAGGTGGAGGAGCCTCAGTGCATCACTGCATTCATTAGCATTTCTGGAGCACTCATCAGCACGGCAGCATTCATTAACATGAATTTCCATTGCTAACATAGAAATGAGAGCCATCTGAAAGATCTAAGGGCTTGAAATTGAAGACAGATCCTTCCATCCCAAAGGGAGTCTGAGTAAAAGAGTCCTACATATGATACATAAACCCGTCTGAAAACAGCAAGATACGAGAAAGATTTCCCAAGAGGTGGGCGAGAAACTAAGGCGCTGCTGCCCTCTCAGAAACACATGGGAACCCACGGGAACAAGCCAAGTTATTGACAGACGCCTTGAACTCCAGGTCACCCTGGTGATCCCCTTTCCACATTACATTGATTTCCTCCCAAACAGAATCTGATCATACACACGGACCGTTGTAGGCCGGGAGATAATGAGGAGGCTGCTAGCAAAGGGTCAGAGGACGGGATTAGATAATTACCTGCCCTCGTTCACAAGCTCGATGAAGGCCAAGCCCGCGTTCTTCTGGATGGAATTCTGCCACTCCTGTGGAGAGAAATAAAAGAGACTTTACTCTTGGAATTAATACAACAGGGAGAGAAGGGAAGGTTGGGTTTCATCAGAATAAACATCCACATGTCAGTGATATGGAAGTATGAACCCCGACATCAAGTTTCAGTATCATCCAGGATTCAGTATCATTCTGTCAGGGTTTATTTTGTAATAATAACTGAATGACTGTATACTATATTACCCCATTGATCGCTGAATAAATAAATAAACTTGAAATACTGATTAAATGATTTAAGAAGAAAGACAGTTCCTTGTGATAAGAGAGACGTGGAACTAGCACAGTGTAAGAAACTGGGTGTTAGGGGAAAAATTCATAAATAGTTTAGTGACCATATAATTTTATATGCAGGTCGATGTGATTGACAAATCAGAATCGAGCATTCCAGAGAGCCTTTCAGAAACCTATATTAATTTTACATTGTAGATGCACTACTTGTATGTGTTTTTTTGTAACTGACTTTTATTGTTTTTTATGTTTTTCATATAAAAAAACTGCATTTATTTACTACTTTTACATTTTTAGAATGTATTGTTTTACACTTGAAAAAATATGAATTATTATTAAAATGTTACCAAAAAGTAAAATAAATACTTTTAAATTAAATAATTATTGTCAAAAGGACATGTTCTCTGTTCAAACTCTGTTCAGATGAAGGGATCACTGGGGGGAGGGAGGAAGAAACCAAAACGGTCATCTAACATGTTTAAATCCTATCCTCAATTCAAGACATTGCATTTAAACAAGCACACCGCTCACAAACTTTAACAGGTCTCACCCGGTTGCTGTAAAAGGTGTTAGTCTAAACAACTGCAGAAACCACAGCTTTCAGTGATGTTTAACAAGCCTAGGAGAAAAAGCGAATCACTGACGTTTTTCACAGCTGCGCCAACCTTTCAACACTTCCCTGTGATCGTCTCAAGAATAATAATAACATGAGTATGTACAAAGTCGCTCGTGTATTCTCAAGGGCTCTTTTCACAGAGAGACTGTCTCAGGGAGACAGGAGCATAACGCTGCGACTCTTGTCTCATTTGTTTCGGTCAACAGAGAGTGCTAGGTTGAAGTCTAGGTTGAGGTGCAACACAAGCAATAGTTTCATGATGATGATTTATTTTTAATCCCCTGCCCATTCCTAGGGTCATAAATGAAAATGAATCCGGGCAAATGTACTTGCTTACAGTATAAAGGAGGAAAAATTTCACCATCCTATGGGAGATGAAGAAAAGTGAGGCGGAGACCAAAATAAATCAAAAGAATTTAAAATGGAAATAACTGTAAATGAGGCTTTGTACACATGTACAGCTGTTAATTCCCAGATTAGATGCATTTTACTCTGGTATCTCCAGCATTCAAATATTTGAGTACCTATATTCAGTTAAATCAGTTTTCAGACAGAAAGCTGAGTCTGGTTAGTCCCTGCTCTCCTGAACACTTTTACACGTTACACTTTCAAGTAAGTAGTTCAAGTAAAGCTTAAAAATGTGCAGAGACGGGACATTTATTTGTTTCTTTTTTATACTTCTTTAAATTTGGAATCAATAATTCATTTAGGAATTGACTGTGCGCTGTACACAGTGTTTATGGAATATGGTGGAATAAGAAAGGAAAATAAGTTGAAGGGACAGGATGGAGGAATAAATGAGAATTTTATTTTTTTTAACCATTCAACTAGCTAAAGTTTAGTAGATGACACTGTTGAGAAAACCTGCACATGTACTAGAATCACTTAAACACTTCAATAGCTGTCATCGACCAAACACACAAATATATTTTCACTACAAAGATAACCGTATGTTCGATGGGTGAGGGAAAGGCATTATTCTTTAATTAAAGGAAGCAATGACCCCAAGCAAAAAGCCTTAATGATCAGTGCTGTGTGTTGGGGACAAGGCTGACATTTACTGGATTTCAACCAGTCATTCTGATAGGACTCTGATACGGTTTTATGGTATCCAATGCCGTTTCCATTCTGACCTGATGAGAGGATACAGGCAGCCATTTGTGACCTTTCAACTCTGACCCTGACCTAAGAGAGGTGCTTCTACAGCCCAGCCACCTCTGCCCCGGTCCTGTCGTCACAGCTACCACTCACGCCAATCCATTCATGTCATCAAGACCGGGATTGTGTCCTAAGATAGGATATGACTTTTATTACAAACAGTGCCTGGGAAAGTTTGTATCGTAAAAATAAACTCCAATGATAGCCACTGATCCAAATCAGTCTTACACTCTTCATCAAGGACATTTATCATTGAGCCGTTTCCTACAAGTCTCGATAAAACAACAAAGAGCAGCATATAGGGAACACTTCTTCAAGGTCAAATCTATCCAAACACGCTCGTGTAAAATGTCAGTTTCACTTTTATTGCAGCTCAGGTGTATAAACAAGTTATGTGAGGTTGAGAGCTCAACATCATCGTGTTCCAGTAAAAAAAATATCTAATCATCCTTAAAACAAGATAAATTTATTTTTGCATTATTTTGATAAATTTAAACCGAAGGAATAGTTTCCAGAGAAAGCATCTTTAATATAATTGTATTTTTTCTTGTTCTATTGGAATGTTATGCATTTATTTATTTGTTTGTTTGTTGGTTGGTCAATTCTCACTAAGTTCTTATTCAAGGAGGGAAAAAAAACAATTTTACTGATTTAGAACATTATTATTATTATTATTGTTGTTGTTTTATTTGAGATTATAAAACACGAAACAAATTTGTTCAAGAATCAAAACAAGAACAGTTAGTTCTGACAAATCATGGACATAATATACATACAAATGAATGTATTCCTCAAACTCAATTCCTGGATGGCCGCAGCCCAGCAGTTTAGATTCACCCCTAATTAAACACACCTGATCAGACTAATCAAGTCCTTCAGGCTTATTTGAAAACTACATGGTATGTGTGTAGGAGCAAAACTCTGGGCTCTGGCCCTCCAGGAATTGAGTTTGACACCCCTGCTCAACATCAATGAATCCTCAACATATTTTAATCAATCATAAATAAATAAATAAATAAATACATACAGCTGCTGGTAGCCATTGACTTCCATAGCATTTCTTTTAGGAAGTACCAACGCACTTTGGTACCCAACATATCTTATTTTGTGTTCAACAGAAGAAAGAAACTCATACAGGTTTGAGGATGAGTATAAGATTCATTTTTGGGTGAACTATTATTGTAACATTTACATTTACCTGCATCTTTTTCACCAAACAACTGGTTAATCAGCCACAAAATGCACTGAGATAATGCTGCACCATGAGCAGTTATGTTCCGTCATACTGTAATTGTTTCTGAGTGATGAAAAGATCTATGCTACAGTACATATGAGTCTATGTGATGGAAACTGAAGCCTGTAACACAGGGCCAAGGGAATGGAGAGAAAGAGAGAGAGAGATCTGATGATGCTCTTAAAAAGAACTTAGTGGCATCGTGATAGTGTGAGCATGTGTGTGTGTGTGAGACTAACATTCTGAACACATTCATAAACAAAATCAGTGTTAATGTTGTGTGCCCATATTAAAAAAAAAAACATTGCTTAACATCACCCCACACACGCTTTAAATTAATTCTTTGATTTACTGATTTTTTTAAATAAAAAACAAAAATACTATTCTTCCGAGACACGCAAACACCATGTTTTAGATTCCTTAAAGAAGTCATCCAACGGGCCATTCTTTCCTAATCACTGCTGATTAAGAGAACGCAATTACCCTCAAACTAAAACAAAACTGAAACAACGCAGACCTACAATGCAACGTTTTGCTTCATCCACAACGGCAAGACGAGGAAATGTGCCCAGCGTTTGGCTTCGTTCACTGAAAATAAACAAGTCGCTCTCCAGTTTCCAAGCCATCAGTTATAATCACAAGTATTTGTTTGTTTTCTGCAGGCAGGGGGATTGAAGCTCAGATGAAACAGAAAAATTATCCGTCACATGGAAGAGCGCTGTTTCAGATCATAACGAGCTGGAGAAGTTTACGTTACGGCTTGTCCGCAGAGCACAAGGCGATTTATGGCGGAAAAGTGGCTACTGTAGAGCTTTGATCGACGGAAAGAGATTCTAGATCTAAAATCTAAAAAAAAACTGAATTCAGCAAAGTATTTCAACCTAAAAAATACTTAACGTTCAAAAACAAAAAAAACTATAAAATAATGTTTCCATAAAGTATCTATTACTGTAATTCTCTGCTTGCTGTGGTTTAAAAAAAATGACACTGAATAAACTTTTTGATCAGCATGTTCAAATTTATGCGGCCAGAATCCTGACTAGGCCTAGAGCAAGAGATCACATCAGGTTTTGTGTGTATTTTAAGATTTCTATACGTACCTCTAAGGCTATAAGTACTTTTAATGTCAGCACATTTAATTTCCTATTCTCTATCTTGTAAACTTCTGGTTTCCTGTCTGTCTGTTGCACTTGTATTCATTAGGAACAGAGTATTTTCTTGTTATCCCCCCAAATTATCCAATTTGCTACTTAGAAAAATAGAGAATTAATCTCTACAATCTTTAAAATGTATTATTAAAACTTTTTTCTTTACAGATTTCAATTGTAGAGATTTTTATATATTTAGATTTTTTTATTATGATTTTTACACCTTATTTTATTACAACATTATTGTTATATGATCTGCACATGACAGTGAAATTATTTTAAAATATACAGAGCAGTAAAATCCTTCCGTTTCATCTCTCTTTTCCAGAAAACAGTTTGTGTAATTAATTATAATATTCCTGATTATTTTAAATTATTTTTAATTTATTGAATTTTTTTTATTGAATTTTTTTTTATTATTATTTAAATATATATTTATTTTTATTATTATATTATTCTTGATTATTTGTAATTATTTTGAATGTAATTATTTAAAATTTTTAATTTAATTATTTTTTATTATTATTTAAATGTATAATTATTTTTGATTATTATTATATTATTCTTGATTTTTTTTTAATTGTTTTTAAT